CCAACATTCCCAACATTCCCAACATTCCCAACATTCCCAACATTCCCAAACATCTCCAACATTCCCAACATTCCCAACATTCCCAAACATTCCCAACATCTCCAACATTCCCAACATTCCCAAACATCTCCAACATTCCCAACATCTCCAACATTCCCAACATTCCCAAACATCTCCAACATTCCCAACATCTCCAACATCATCTCCAACATCTCAGCAGCTTCGGCACCGGGACATTCCATAAAAATCCGGGAAAAGCCGGATTGGGTGGGGTGGGAGGCTCTGCCGGGAGGTCACCAGGGTTGGGTGGCACCAGGGGGTGACATCTCCTGGGGTTGGAGCCACCAAGGTCCCACCAGGGTTGGGTGGCACCTTTGGGTGGCACCTCCTGGGGCTGAGGTCACCAGGGTCACACCAGGGTTGGGTGGCACCAGGGGGTGACATCTCCTGGGGTTGGAGCCACCAAGGTCCCACCAGGGTTGGGTGGCACCCATTGGATTTGAGGTCACCAAGGTGCCACCAGGGTTGGGTGGCACCATTGAGGTTGAGGACACCAAGGTCACACCAGCGTTGGGTGGCACCCATCGGGTGACACCCATTGGATTTGAGGTCACCAAGGTCACACCAGGGTTGGGTGGCACCTTTGGGTGGCACCTCCTGGGGTTGGAGCCACCAAGGTCACACCAGGGTTGGGTGGCACCCATTGGGTGGCACCTCCTGGGGCTGAGGTCGACAGGGTCACACCAGCGTTGGGTGGCACCTTTGGGTGGCACCTCCTGGGGTTGGAGCCACCAAGGTCACACCAGGGTTGGGTGGCACCAGGGGGTGACACCATTGAGGTTGAGGTCACCAAGGTCACACCAATGTTGGGTGACACCCATTGGATTTGAGGTCACCAAGGTCACACCAGGGTTGGGTGACACCAATGGGTGACACCATTGAGGTTGAGGTCACCAAGGTGCCACCGGCTTGGGTGGCACCCATTGGGTGACACCTCCTGGGGCTGAGGTCACCAAGGTCCCACCAGGGTTGGGTGGCACCATTGGGTGGCACCCATTGGATTTGAGGTCACCAGGGTCACACCAGCGTTGGGTGGCACCCAGTGGGCTTGGAGACACCAGGGTGTCACCAGCATTGGGTGACACCCATTGGATTTGAGGTCACCAAGGTCACACCAGCGTTGGGTGGCACCCATTGGGTGACACCTCCTGGGGCTGAGGTCACCAAGGTCACACCAATGTTGGGTGACACCCATTGGATTTGAGGTCACCAGGGTCCCACCAGGGTTGGGTGGCACCTTTGGGTGGCACCCATTGGATTCGAGGTCACCAAGGTGCCACCAGGGTTGGGTGGCACCCAGTGGGTGACACCATTGAGGTTGAGGTCACCAAGGTCACACCAATGTTGGGTGACACCCATTGGATTTGAGGTCACCAGGGTCACACCAATGTTGGGTGACACCCATTGGATTTGAGGTCACCAAGGTCACACCAATGTTGGGTGGCACCCAGTGGGTGACACCATTGAGGTTGAGGTCACCAAGGTGCCACCAGGGTTGGGTGGCACCCATTGGGTGGCACCTCCTGGGGTTGGAGCCACCAGGGTCACACCAATGTTGGGTGGCACCAGTGGGTGACACCTCCTGGGGCTGAGGTCACCAAGGTCCCACCAGGGTTGGGTGGCACCAGTGGGCTTGGAGACACCAGGGTGTCACCAGCATTGGGTGGCACCCATTGGATTTGAGGTCACCAGGGTCACACCAGCGTTGGGTGGCACCTTTGGGTGACACCCATTGGATTTGAGGTCACCAGGGTCACACCAATGTTGGGTGGCACCTTTGGGTGACACCATTGAGGTTGAGGTCACCAAGGTCACACCAGGCTTGGGTGGCACCCATTGGGTGACACCCATTGGATTTGAGGTCACCAAGGTCACACCAGGGTTGGGTGGCACCTTTGGGTGACACCCATTGGATTTGAGGTCACCAAGGTCACACCAGGGGTTTTATTAATTTAATTATTTATTTATTTATATTTTATTCCCCTTTTTTCCCCCATTTTTCCTTTATTCCCATTTTTCCCCATGTTTTCCTTTTTTCTTCTTTTTTCCATTTTCCCCCTTTTTTCCCCCTTTTTCCCTTTTTTTCCCCTTTTTCCCTTTATTTTTTTTCTTCCTTTTTTCCTTTTTCTCTTTTTTCCCCTTTTTTTTCCTATTTTTTTCCCTATTTTCCCCTTTTTCTTCCATTTTCTTCCTATTTTTTCCCTTTTCTTCCTTTTCCCCATTTTTTTTTTCTTTTTTCCCCTATTTTCCCCTTTTTTCCCCTTTTTCTCCCTTTTTATTCCTATTTTTCCCTTTTTTCCCCTTTTTTCTCCCTTTTTTCCCCTTTCTCTTCCATTTTTCTTCCATTTTCTTCCTATTTTTCCCTTTTTATCCCTTTTTTCCTTTATTTCCCTTTTTTTTCCTTTTTCTTCCTATTTTATCCCTTTTTTCCATTTTCCCCTTTTCTTCCTTTTTCTTTCATTTTTCCATTTTTCCCCTTTTCTTCCTTTTTCTTTCATTTTTCTCCCCTTTTTTTCCCTTTTCTTTCCCTTTTCATTCCCTTTTCCCCCCTTTTCTTTCCCTTTTTTCCCTTTTTCCTTTTTCTTCCTATTTTCCTTTTTTTTCCATTTTCTTCCTATTTTTTCCCTTTTTTCCCCTGGTTTTTTCCCCTTTTTCTTTCATTTTTCTTTCATTTTTCTTTCATTTTTCCCCCTTTTTTTCCCTTTTTTCACCCTTTTCTCCCCATTTTCCCTTTCCCTTCCCCGTTTTCCCCCGTTTCTAACCCGTTTTCCCCGTTTCTAACCCATTTCCCCCGTTTTCCCGTTTCCCCATTTCCCTGTTTCCCCCATTTTCCCCTGTTTCTAACCCGTTTCCCTGTTTCCAACCCGTTTTCCCCGTTTCCCCCATTTCCCCATTTCCCTGTTTTCCCCGTTTCCTGTTTCCCCCATTTTCCCTGTTTCTAACCCATTTTCCTGTTTCTAACCCATTTCCCCCGTTTTCCTGTTTTCCCTGTTTCCCTGTTTCCCCCATTTTCCCCTTTTTCTAACCCATTTCCCCCGTTTCCCTGTTTTCCCCATTTCCCCGTTTTCCCGTTTCCCCGTTTCCAACCCGTTTTCCCCATTTCCCCGTTTTTCCCCATTTCCCGTTTCCCCGTTTTCCTGTTTCCACCATTTTCCCCGTTTCTAACCCGTTTCCCCCGTTTCCCCATTTCCCCGTTTTTCCCCATTTCCTGTTTCCCCGTTTCTAACCCGTTTTCCCCATTTTCCCCGTTTTCCTGTTTCCCCCATTTTCCCTGTTTCTAACCCGTTTTCCTGTTTCTAACCCATTTCCCCCATTTCCCGTTTTCCCCGTTTTC